ATTTTGTTGATTGTAGTTGGCAAGATGAAGAGGTATATGGAGTTTTTTTTTTTTTTAGGCTACATGATTCCTATTTTGTGACTGACTGCAAATTTTAAATTATAAGCCCATAATATCTTCCCCCCCCAGATCAATATAAAATAGGTCAAGATCAAACTCTAGGGAAAAAAGGACGATTTTCTCTGTTTGAAGCTGTTTTTAATAGACTGAATTATTACAAGTTCTGTCAGACACCGAGCAAGGTCCAGGTGAGAGCTGAGGGGCTCAGATTACCCAGGCGAGCAGCGTGCCCCATGCAGCAGGACAACTGCCCCCCTCACAGCTTGGTGCCCTCCAGGCCTCACGGTTGGGGGGCCCCTGCCTGTCTGGGGTTCCCTCACATATAACATGGGGACGCCCACGCCCACACCTGTGCCATGCTCCCTGATGGAGGAAACAGGCAACTGAGCCACTGGCAGGCATTGCTGGCAATAGCACAGCTCAAATCCCAGAGTGCTGCTAACGGAGACCAGGTGACCGCAATGAGCATGCCCGAGTCATGCTTACTCTTAGTTATTGCCGTTACTATTGTCCCGGTAAATCCCCTTTCCATAAGATGTCCTTCCTCTTAAATTTTCAGCTGCCACTTTAAGATCTAATTAAGTCCTGCCCTTTCTAAGCGCTGGAGAGCCCAAGCTGCAGAACGGATGCCTGGGGGTGCTTAGGCATCTTGGGGTAACTGCAGGCATCTCACGAATGGTGACAAATCAAATACTCCCTGTCCTTGCTTTAACAAGAGGAAGATGATGGCCATGTCAAGTTCTCTTTAGAATCAATTATAAACCACTCCTAAGACAGGATGGCATTAAAGAAAAGTAATACGGGATGGAAATTACGCCGCTCCAGGAGAGAGCATTTTGCTGTGTGTTTATTTTGGTGAAGAGAATGTAGATTTCATCTGTCCAGGGCTGAAACCAGCCTCCTGTGTGGGCACACATGGCGCCCCGTGACAGTGAGTGAGTTCAAAGCAAGTCATCAGAGTGGCGCTGCCTTCTGAAAGGAACCTCAGAGTGAGAGCAGTTGCTGTCCCACTCACAATTTCTGTGCATGCTGCAAGTTGTAGCATGAAGGGAACTCACGTCTGCAGGAGCAAAATAGTGACAGAAAATGGAATCTCGAGCCCTGAGAGGCTCCCAGCGCTGGAGAGATACAGACATGCCTCTGTGGATTAGCACAATCTATTCAATTTGGCAGGAAATGACTCATTCGAGGCCCTGCTGGATTCATACCTATTCAATATACTTCTTAGCAAAAATACACAAACATTGTCCATTAAGGCGCTAAATATGTTATGTTGTAAATCGACAGACACTCCAACCCAAAATTATCATAGCATTTGTTTTTAGCAATCTATTAATAATTTCTGAATCATCTTTTCCCTCTCATTTCATTCACTGAAAGTTTAAGCAGCTTTCTTTACAGGAAAATAGAAGTGATGCTTTAAACCAGGTGTCTGCAAACTACAGCCTGCTGGCCGCATGCAGCCCGCCTAGGACATTTATCTGGCCCGCCAGGTGTTTTTGCCGCCGCTGCCTGTCCTGCTTAGCAGCTGACTCGTCCAGGGGCCCGCAATCCAGCCCGCCAACGGTCTGAGGGACAGTGAACTGGCGCCCTGTTTAAGAAGTTCGAGGACCCCTGCTTTAAACAAAGACCCCAAAAGGAAGAACTGGACGGGAAGTTAGGTAAGCTTCCTACCTGTGATGTCTTGAAACAGTAAGAGGAGCCATGGAATCAAACTAAGGCACTGGAATCAAACGGTGACTTCTGGGATATATAGAAAAGAGACAATTCTCTCCTCGTCCTGAGTGTGTTTTACAGGACAGTCCAATGCTTCAAGCACACAGCTTGCCACTTAACACTCAATTAAGTCATGTGCACAACAGGACAGCCGTCACACACACACACTGACACGTTTCCTTGGGAAACACTGAACTTTGGCTAACTGCAAGTGAAAACAAGCTGTCAAGCTTGCAAATTTGTAATTATATTAAAAATAATCTTCTATTGGCTAACATAAGAATCAGTGCTTTTCCTCCAGATGTCCTTCTATACAAACACTGTCTTTTGGTAAGTTTACCGGGGAATGGGAGGCCAGCAGCCTCCAACCTCCCAACCCATCTGCCCTTGCTCCCAAGCCTTTCTGGCTGCAGTGCACAGTAGGATGGTCACCAGCAGATGTGCCCCATGTACCTCCAGTGTCCTTAAACTAATCTGCTAGCTCCTTATTGCTCTCTGGACTTTGTTCCTGTTTAACAAGCAGTAACACGTAGACTCACAACTGGGCTCAAGTCAGGAGACTAACTTACCAGCAAACATCAGAAACGGCCCATTTAGCTGAAACGCCAACATGGATCCTTAAAATAACTCGTGAAACCCCAAAAGTGGAACGTTTAAAGGAACCTGAGTTATACCTTTTCTAGTGGCTTATATTCAAAAATGAGAAGTGGAAAC